CCTCTGGCAGCGGCAACTTCACCTGGAACACCATCGAGGAGGCTGCTGCCGCCCAGCCCTCAGCATGGAACTTCGTCGACCCTCCCCGCAGGGACGGCTTCGCCACCCCCAACGCCGTCAACACATCGACATGGATGGCTGTCCGTTACCAGGTAGACAACCCGGGCGCCTGGCTTCTCCACTGCCACATCCAGAACCACATCTCTGGTGGCATGAGCGCCATCATCCAGGATGGCGTCGACGCCTGGCCCGTTACTCCCCAGGAGTACGTCAACTACTCTTAAAAAAGCAAGTCAAAAAAGTCAACCAACCATAAATGCACAAAAAAGACGTTTCACGGCGCACAAAGCAAGGTGTTGTAATGTTACACGCAAGGTGTTAGACGAAGGTACCGGCGCGGGCGGCATTGTGCGTGCGATTTCATTGATGACAACCCCTCCACGCACGTCTCTCATTCCTGTTTATTTGCGAGGGCCCTATGTTTGGATAAAACTCTTCCATATTTTCCTGGCTGTCATATATTCTCAAAAGATGCAGTAATCGTTCAATCGATAATGGTCATTTACACACATTTTACTGGTTTCTCACAATCGTCCCCACCGACTTTGCTGTGATTAATGTGAATCAGCGTCTGCTTATCATCTTGGCGCTGCGTGAAATCATCTTAGCTACATGTACACCTTGCATTCATCATTCTTCAGATTAATTAATTCCCGACCCTGCCAGGCTCCGCGGTAGTCAGCATCTCGACTAATCGTTGCTCCACGGCTCGAGGCTCATTCATAGGGCTCACTCCGCCAAGTTTCGCAATGTCCTATTCGCTGCGGTATCACCAGGCGACTGTGCCCATCCATCTGAACCAAGTACCATTCGTACGACGCGGCACGCTATCCGCCGCACACTCCTTACTTCTAGCTGCGAAAAAGTGAAGGGCCGCAGAAACGAACGAGGGGCAAATGTTTTCCAACAGACACACCGCAGCGCGTCGTGCGCATCATCAGTCCGGAATCGCCCCAGTACCTTCCATCTCTCTGACCTCTGCATGTGTCTTGGTCGGAAAAAACACACGGATCGAAAGCTCCATACTTGAGTTTCCTATGCAGCCTCGCGCTGCACTGCGCTGCGCGACGCCGGGTATCCGTACAATACGAAGTTTCCTTCTTTCTCCTCGGCACTGCCCTAGCCGTAGCCGGGCGGCGGCCTTCCCAGGCGATGAAGGGGGGCCTAGGTTAGTCTTGTCTCGGCTTTCCGGGTCTTATCTCTAGCTCGTTGGTTCGTCTAAAATTAGGAGGCCGAACAAAACGAATTTGAGATGCATAAGAAACGGCTTTTCTTTTCTTTAAGTCTGTTCGACCTTATCACTTAGCCTGGTTGACAGCGCGGAGGCAAAAAACGGAAGTTAGTGTCATCGTCCGCACACGAAAAAGCCAAGTCGAGCTGGAAATGAGGGTCAGAGACATCCATTGGGGAGGAAAACGGCAGGGAAAAGAAAGTGCGGGGTGTGCGGCTGTCTTAGACAGTGGCGGCAGGAACGGCAAATTGAGATGTAGATAAGCTGCGTTAGGTCGGCGTGTGTGTTATGCGAGTATTTTGCATATACATAATCTGCGATGTGTGTGTGTGTTTACATGTAAGCCATTGCTTCGCCTCTTGGAAAAAGGAATGGTGATGTCAGATGTTTTGATCAGATTGGTTGACTCAGGCGCGTATATGTGTTTTTGCGGTCTTTGTTTGGTTGGAGGAGGAGATGAACGCCAGTCATGACATTCGCGACTTTTACTGGCGGACTTTTTTGGTGAAAGGAAATTCGTATCAGGAGATTCCATAAGCAGTCTTGCCTAATATGCTGAGTGCGGTACTAATTGACAGTGGCTAAGACGGTCGATGGACGGGTTGGGCCTTGAAGCAGGTAAGGGGGGAAATGGTTCGTGTTAGCTTGGACACTTGCTTCGGGATATATGCTAGCGTGGTTTTCTGCCAACGATCGCATGGGCACACGTGAGCTTCGGTCCTGAACATTCCGGTGATGTTCTTCGGAGGCGCGGCGGGGCAAATGCCCGGAAGCTGGGAGCCGACCGGGGGGGTTTCCTGTGAAGCACGGGGATCGGCGGCTGTCTGAGGCGCGGGCTGCATGTGGCTAATGTAGATGGGTGAAGCAGTTCCGGGAATATGGGGAGGCTCGGTTACGACGGTCATGACTGGATCATGTTCCGCCGGTCGAGTTTGGGGGCATGCGTGAGGAGCTCTTAGATTGGCCTCCTGCTTGGTATCGTCCGGCTGCGGCTCGAGTTGATAGTGAGCTGCGTCAGTGAACGAATCGGTTGCATCTAGGCCTTGACCTTGTATCTGGAATTTCCTGTTAATTCGCGAAGTCTTGTAGAACATGGCAGTTGAGACTCGCTCAACAAACTATTTTCACAGGGCCACTAGTGATTCAGCGGCCCGAAGCAGCACTTCAAATAGTGAACTGGCTCCCGTAGAAGATTCCGGTCATCGCCGGCCCAGCTCCGTTTCGCCGGCCCGGAAGTGGGTCTATTTCCGGTCTCCGTCCTCCGTTGAGCTCCGAAAGTAACCATGCCCTCCTACGGCAGACAGATGACACGTCAAATCATCCCGGTATTTTCTGTCAAGTCTGTAATCGCTCACGCTGATCTTACATGCCTCGTCACTTCAGTGAGCGTCCATTATTCAACCAGAGCACCTACTCGAAACATCCTGCCACGGAAAATACATGCCGAAAAGGACTTGGAAGACCGATCCGACAAGCCAGACAATTGCAAACCTCCAATCGTACGACGCATCGTTGTCAAAGGATTCCTCTTCTCGGAAAGCTTGCTCTCCTTCTGCTGACCACCTCATTCCCGCGGATAGTGGGCGCCGCCCATTTCCCACGAAGTACAGGGGTTGAGATTGGACGTGGTGGCGCCCGTCAGCACTTAAACACCCCCATCCAGCAGGCATCATTTCCAAGAACGGTACTTCGTGCTTCGGTGCAAAAAGGAGGAACTTTGGTCAAGGGAGGCGTATTTGCTGGAAGTCCAAGTTCGGCGGGTTCGGCGGGTTTTCTCTCTGGATTCTTCTCTATAAAACTCATAGGATCCTTTCGTCGGAATTTTCTCATTTTTGTTCCTGTGATCCTGCTGCCCTCTGCTCGCAACACAAAATGTCGTCACAGAGTAAGCACATCGCGATTGTCGGCGCAGGTAAGCTTCTAATATCCATCACATGACGATGAGTACTGACTCGGTCCGTTTAGGCCCCAGCGGTCTCGTTGCCATCAAGGAGTGTCTCGCGGCGGGATTCTCGGTGCAGTGCTTCGAGCGCGCACACGCCATCGGCGGACAGTGGCTTCACGACCCGAACCCCGGTCCCGACGCTCACTCTTCGATTTACAACGGCGTCATTCTCAACTCGTGTCGCGATTCGACTGGCTTTAGTGATTTTCCAATCGACCCGGCGCGGTATCCAATTTACTATTCTCATGAGAAGCATCTGCAGTATATGAACGAGTACGCGGCGCATTTTGACTTGGAGAAGCACGTTCGGTTCCACACGAGGGTGGTTGGATGTGCGCCGACTAAGGAGGGCGGGTGGGAAGTTCGATTCCGTGATGCCAGGGTTGAGGACAGCAAGGAAGAAGTTCTGACTTTCGATGCTCTCATCTGTGGGAGTGGGCTCAGCAGCAACCCCAGGATTCCCGACTTCAAGGGCAGGGACACATTCAAGGGAGAGGTGTTGCATAGCCACTACTACCGGTCGCCGACTCGATTTGAAGGGAGGAAGGTCGTGATCATTGGGCTCGGATCGACGGCTGTTGATGTTGCGTGCGAGATTGGACCCCTTGCCAAGGAGCTCAATGTGGTGAACAAGCGTGGCGCATGGGTGTTGCCCCGATTCCTCCTGGGAAAGCCGGTTGAAGCATGGAACAGTCAGTCTTCGTGGTCCAAAGACACGCTTTCTAGCAACGTTTGCTAATCATTCTTTACAGGTCGATCAAGCGCAACATGGCTACCCTTCAGCGTTCAGGCATTCGCCTACAACAAGATCATCACCCACGCGCTGGGCAAACAACCCGAGATCCTCCAACCGGACCATCACATCATGGAGCAGAACCCAACCGTACGGAGCGACTTCACCGAAAAGCTGAATACCGGAGTCTTCAATCTGCATCGGTCCGATGTAACCTCCTTTACAGAGACTGGCCTGCTGCTTGACGACGGCACCGCCCTTGACGCTGATGTTATTATCCTGTGTACTGGCTACAGCATAGCTCATCATCCATACCTCGCACCAGGCGTCCTCGAGAGCAAAGAAGAACCAGCTCCGGAAGTCGATCTCTACAAGCGCATCGTCCCGCCACGATCAAGGAACCTGTTCGTGATGGGACAAGTTGAGGTAGCTGGACCCGCCCAACCAATTATCGAGGCACAGGCCCGGTATATTGCTGCTGTTCTGGGCGGAAAAGTGCAGTTGCCAGACGAGGAGGGTATGATGAAAGATGTCCGTGCTTTCCGTGCTTTCCAGAGGAAGCATTTCGTCAGGTCTGAGAGGCATACAATGACGGTCGATTACAACCCTTACATTGATGGCCTCCTAGAGCCCCTTGGCGCCGTTCCATCGGGATGGAAATTGTTCGGGAGGATTTTCACGAGTGGTAAGCCAGCGAGGGCGTTCAAGGTGTACTCAGCGGTGTTTTTCGAGATCCAGACCGGAGCACAGTGGCGGCTTTCAGGCGTAGGAAGTTCCACTGAGCTGGCGGAAGAGACGCTGCTAAGGATTGCGGCGGGGACGAACGGGTTAAGCGAAGGCGAGAAGGCACATATCTGACATATAGCTTTTTCTTTGGCAACAATGTGTTGCAGCTGTGATACTGATGGCTATCTAATAAATCATGCCCTTTTTTCCCTATCCTACCATCCTAGAAGGGTGCCCTGACGCATGAAAATTTTATCTTCCTAGCCAGGTAATCTTTACTGGATTGGTCGTTTCGGAGACCATGTTTAGATACCGGAGTCATCCTGCTCGGCGTGGAAGTTCTTGTTGTACAGAGTGTAGTGCGCCGCCCAGTTGGTACACTGCTCGGAAAACTTCGAGGCAACACCAGACTTTGCGAATGCAGGCCCTATCTCTTTGGGCGATTCAATGAACTGGAGCGCGAGTCCACCGCTGGCGTGCCAGGCGATCTGTCAAGGTAAGTATCTGGCAAACAAGACAGGTACTGTTAGACTTACGTGGCAGTGCATGAGCCAAATTCCCGGGTTATTGACTAGATATGGAGTCAGATGTGCGAATCCCCACTAAAGCGAGTGCTTGACTTACTCTGGAACGCAATGAGAAGATACCCATCGACTGGAAGTAAGGCCACATCGCGCCTCGCCGGATTATCGAATGTCTTTTCGTCAATTTCAACCGTACCATTGAATTCTTTGGTACTTTGTGCCAGAATGACAAAGTCGTGCCCGTGGATGTGCATGGGGTGAGCTACCGGAGCTTGTTTCTTGTAGATGTTGTGCGTGGAGTTGTCCACAGATTCCTGAAATTTGCCCTCAATGAGCCAGTACACCCAGTCGCCATGTTTGTAGTCGTCTAGAAATACAGGCTCATAGCCTGTCGGAAATGGAGCCGTGTCCCAATTCTTTTCGAAAGCAACCTTGACTAGACTAAGACTCGGCTCAGTCCAATCCAGATAGAACGACGAGTCCTTGAGTACCCATTTGTGCATGGCGGAGGTATTGTCTGCGGCATTGGGGTAGCCCACCAAATGCACCTTGAATGATTTTTCTTTGTAGTCGGAATTGGCAGGATGCTCGACAGTTCTCTTGACAATAGGTTTTAGGTCCTCTGCCTTTTCGTCCAGACAGCCGTAACATACGTGTCTGTCATCAACGGGAGGAGTGTGAGGGATATTTGTGGATGTATGGTCGTATCGAATGATCCCGAGATTCGAAGGAGCACCACCAAGTGAGCAGTCTCGTGCGTGGATCCAAAAGTCCTTCTCGTTGGTATCGGTTTTCGTAGCATTAGCCTTGATGATGATGTCGTAGCGCTGCCCAATGGCGACGTTGATGATTGACGCAGGGTAAGGGGTGATGGGGACGAAATCCGCTGCAACGACTGTAAAATTATGGTTGTCAATCCAGAAGGTTGTGTGAGTCGATGTTCCTGTGTTAACGAGGCTCATCTTGTACGTCCTGTCCTCTGTGAAGTTAAAAGACTCTCGTTGCGACCCGCCGACACAGTTCTCCTGTGCTCCGGGACACGTCGAGCAGCAGTGATATTTGCCTTTGCCGTTCATCAACATGCTGTCTGGTGAGGGTGGGCGACCTGTTATTATTGATCAGCAGGCGTACTTCTTCATCCAATGGTTTTACCAAGGGGTTAACTTACCTAAGTATTCAAGCTGGACCTGGGAAAAAGCGGTCTTGTGGAAGTTATCGGTGATCAACACGGGACCAAGATCCTCATCGTAATTCATACTGGTTGGCCCATTGATCTTTAGAGCTCCCACCAGTCCATCGGCATCTGTCAACTATCATTAAGGGAACAACATATGCAACAAGGGTTGGAACGAACATTGGAGACTGAAGTGACCTTCTTTTGTCAGTAATTATCAGATGTCAAGATATAGGAAACTCACTGTGGTACCAAGACACGCCATACTGCTGGGCTCTCCACTCGTATGTGAAGTTTTCACCAGGCTTTCCCTTGTTAGCAACCAGCATAAGCACATATAGAGATACACTCACCGGAATGGGACATTCAGTCACTCCTGAAACACCGTCCATCCAGTTGGTGTTCAACTGCCTGATGCCGTGCCAGTGAATGGATGTGCCGTTGAAGTTGGTGAGGTTGTTCTTGACAGTGATTCCTATTCAAGAGTGAGTACGTCGCGCATCAAATATCTACCATATATCATGGCATTCAGGTCACGGTGCTGACGTACTGAAAGTATCGCCCCAGTTGCCCTCAAGAGTTGGTCCGGGATACGATCCGTTGAACAGCATACGCGAAACATTGTATCCGTCAGGGGCAATTGTCGTGTTCGTGACTTCCAAGTAAAACTATTGATCGTTAACACAGTTGATCCCAAAAGCTATTGGAAGCAGCGAAAACCTCTCGCACGACGCCCTCTGGTGTCTTTATCTCGTAATCGGTTTCAATATTGAAGCCTTCCGCTTTAGAGATCCCAGTGGTCCAGCACTGTCGATTCTCGGGTGTGTTGCATGAGCCGTCGGGTTTTGGGAAGTTGTCACTTTGCGGGCCAACACGTCCGAGGGAGGGCAGATCAGAAGTCACTCTGCTTTGCCCCTTGAACTCGGAGGAGAAGACGAGGATCTCGATGAGTCTCTTCCAGAACCCCATCTTGAGTACTCCCACCTGGTTGGGAGATGTAAGAAGTAGCAAAAGAGAGAAATATGACAGTCGTAGGCTTGAAGGCTTGAGATGAGATACTCAAGATGAGTCGACAATAACCTCGGTATGGTGCCAGCACTTCTCCAAGGTATGAAGATATTGATATAAGTCCTTGAGCCCAGGGCGGACGATCAGCTCTCGCCTTGAAGCGGCATCCCCCCGCACACAGAATCCACGGCATAACTGATATGAAGACAGTGTCTCACTTCAGCTACTTGAAATCCGCGTGGCTTCCCGAACATTCTCAAGGAGGGTGGAGTTCGGGGGTGGAGAAGGCGGAAGCAACCGTCTCCGGCATTTTGCTAGAGCGTTCCCATCATTCCAGTCTAGGTTTCTGTCAGTCTGGACCGAACCTTCAATCAGCAAAGATTTTCAACCAAGTGAGTGCGGCTGGAAATCTTGGCATTGTTTGCATCATGAATTTGACGATAGTCATGCCATGGGGTTTCAGTAAGTCGGACTCAAACCCCAAATTCCCATATCTTAGCAGTCAGGTTTCACCCGTCTGGGTATCGAAAAAACGCCTTGTCTTGCCATCAACCGTCAACCCGCTACAATTTGTAAGATTAGCCTCTCGTGGCTGTAGACTAGCTTGCTAAATTCATCCACCATGCTGAAAGCATCTGGCCCCTAACAATTATCTGTTTCATGGTGGTTCGGTAACTAGAACAATTGAATGCAAAATCGCTGGCTGTTATGCTGGATAATCTTGACAATAGAGTTTGAGCGAGTCTCTTCTTGGTCGAGCCCCGTAGATCCGGCATCCATGGCTAGACACGACCCTGAAGTCTGTCTTATTTGGACGCTCAGCTAGCCACGGGCTGAAGACTGTCTTATTACCCCAACATCTGCTACAGTCCAAGAACGGAGAAATATCAACAGTCTTTCGACGAGGGAGGCTCAACATTGACCGTTCCAATACCAACGTGGTCCCACCGTCGGCTCGTGGCGGCCCGTCCCAGAGCCCTCGGCCGAACCCATCTAGATGTTATCCGGCTTAGGAAACAAGGCCGATAACAACGACATCGAGAATCATGGCAGACATGATGGTAGCAAAGAAGATTCTTGTAGCCTCAGAGGCCGCAATAGCGATGGCCACGACGGCAACAACGATGATTGCGCAAATTCCCCGCAAAGTTCCATTCGCATGCGGCCTCAGCTGTTGCGATAGTTGACACGACGATCGCTGAATCCTTCACGTTCCAGTCATTGCAAGTCCCGGTCAATCTCACGCGGCAGCATACCGCCCTCGTGGCAAAGGCGAAGGCGGACCAGTCTCGGCCATCTTCAATTTCTCTAGAGGTATCATGTTGATGTGTGAGTGTGAAGAAGTCGAGCTCCGTCACGATACTTAAGATGGAGCAATCTTCCACCTACACTCTCCAGATCACCAAGGATCATCTTATTCGTTACCTGGTTCATCGTCCTCATCATGTCTGCTCCAAAGGATCTTTTGAACTTCATCCCGGCGGATGTCTTCTACAACCAGGACGTCCCCAACTTCGAGAAGTCAACCAAGCTCTTGAACGTGCAGTCTTCCACTTCAGAGCTTAAGGATAATAATCCCCTCCGCTATGCTGCTCAAGTATCCCTTTCGGCCGACGACGGCACCAAGCCCACCCAGGCTCTGGTTCAATTCGTCACGCCGCAGATTTGGAGAATCAGATACAACCCGAAGTTCACGAAGGTCGAAGATTATCCAAACGACAACTCGTGAGTGCTTGCCATCATTTCTGCCCATACCGTACTACTAACACGTCGATATATAGGCGCACGATTGTGATGAACAAGTTTTCGGATCTTGTAGATCAACTCAAGGTCGAGTACCGGGAATCTTTGGCATGGAATGCGGTCGAAGCTGGGAATGAATGGAATTGGAACACGACTTTTAACAAGATCTCTGACGTCCACTGGGTTCTTACAGTAAGGAACCTGCCCGCTCACTTTCTCATGCGAACCGCTGCTGACCAAAATTGTAGTCCAAGGAATACAAGAACAAGGCGGATACCGCGGGAACCGAGGTTACAAGCCTTCACTTTCTGGCGGAGCCGTTCCGTATCATCGTACGTGAACTTTCACTTATTTTAACGTCTGTAAGCTCACGTTGGGTAGGCCACCAGGAAACTGGACCCATCGGACGTCGCTACCTTGACTGATGTCGGCATCACAACCACAGCGACGGAGCACGTCATCTGGCGTACAACGACTGAGACGTTTTGCCACCAAGATGGGAGCCAACAGGGCATTGGCGCAATCAACAATGTTGTCCTCAATATTGAAAAGCCTGGCCCGGCTCAATACCTCGGATTCGGCGAGCAGGGAGGACGGACCGTCTTGAAGGAGCCCACCTACATGAACTATTTCTGTACGTATCCATGTTCGCTTCAGCCGCCGACCGGTAGCTGACAGTACTAGGCTACGACAACTTCAACTACCAGAAAGTCTATGGTCAAGGTCCTCTGGACACCAAGGAGCCCCTGTAAGTTATCCCCAGGTACACCGGGTTAGATCGAAACTGATGGGTCAGATACCACTCCACTCCATTCTACTTGGAGATGAACGGTACCCCGGGATTTCGAAACGTGACCGGTCTAATGGTCGACAACTACTCCCAAGTTGCAATCGACCTTGGCAAGAAGAATGCCAGCACCATTGGCGTAGCGACTCGCTTTGGCACCTTTGATGCCTACGTGATGACTGCGGACGACGTGCCCAGAATGATTTGGTAAGTCCTTCAGAGTGTCGGTCAGCCTTCTTCTAACACGTGCTCTTAGGCAGTACACCTCACTTGTGGGACGTCCTAAGCTCAAGCCGCGCTTTATTCTGGGTCACCACCAAGGATGTGAGTTCAAGGATTCCTGACCCCAGTCAAATGAACAGGATAGCTCACCAGCCCAGGCTACGGCTACCAGAATACCTCAGATGTCATGAACGTCGCGAACAGGTATCATGACTTGGGCTTCCCTCTTGACGGAATGCACCTTGACGTAGACTTCCAGGTGAGTCTGAGCCATCTCAAAGATACTCTGTAATTCTGACTCCCACAGGATCGCTATCGCACTTTTACACATAGCGCAGCCAGATTTCCGAACGTCAAGAGCTTTTTCAGCAATCTCAGGAAACTTGGCGTAAAGAGCTGTACCAACATCACGCCCATCTTGACTTTGCGCGAGTCGGATGCGGACCAATACTTCGCCTTGCGAGCCTTCTGGGACCAGAGCAAGAAGCTAGATCCTGCAACCAAGTGAGCCTAACCGTTGGCATTCATTGGAACTTGTGCTGAAATATGTCTAGTCTTCTCGTCGGCGACAATAGATACATGTCAGGCCTGCCGTCGGATTTCCCAGCCAATGGTTGCACGAGGTACGATGGAGGATACGCCACGCCTTCGTACCTGAATCCCAACGACTTGAACGACCGCATCACGTTCGCAGATGACCCGAACGGCGCGACCCCCTACAGAGATGACTATGTTTTCATGCAGTTGGAGGAGGGCAAACCACCCGGAAACTACAACAGTGGATATCCTTTCCATGGAGGCGTCAGCTACGGCAGCCAACTTGGAACGGTAAGACAGCGTGCTCCTGCTACGGTGATCTCGATAATTGACGAATATGTACTTAGGTGGGGTACTATCCGGACCTCAACCGTGCCGTTGCGCGTGAAACCTGGGGCAAACAATACCAACAACTCTTCGACGACGGCCTCGAGTTTGTTTGGCAGGATATGACGACGCCAGCGGCTGGAAATTGTTATGGCGACATGTTGGGGTAAGTGTAATGTTTCTGCATGCCCATCAAGAGGGCTGGTGGAAGTCTACTTCACGCTTCAGAGCTAACGAGAATCACAGATTCCCCTCCAGACTTCTCATGTCCGAAGACACCATCAACCAGCAGTCAGACAAGAAGCCCGACCAGAAGACGGCCATCGAGCTCTGGGCCCTCTACTCATACAACCTTCACAAGGCAACCTACCACGGCCTGAACAAGCTCAAGGGCCGCGAGAACAAGCGCAACTTCATCATCGGCCGCGGCAGCCAGACCGGTATGCACCGTTTTGCTGGCCTGTGGACCGGCGACAACGGCAGTTCCTGGGACTTTTGGAGAATCTCGGTATCCCAGGTTCTCGCCCTGGGATACAGTGGTCTCACCATCGCCGGCGTGGACATGGGAGGCTTTACTCCTGACCCGCACAACCAGCCTCCGGCACCGCGCTGGTGTGACCCCGAATTGCTTGTCCGTTGGTATACCGGCGCTTTTCTGCTGCCGTGGTACCGCAACCACTATATCCAGCACTTCGATTCGAAAGCATTCCAGGTGAGTCCTCCTGCTCCAAATTCATGATTTGAGTTCCGTCTAAGCAAGGTCCAGGAACCATTCAAGTATGGCGATGCCTTGGGCGACTCAAGATACAGCTCCTTGATTCCTAGCAACCTGCAAACTCAGTATGCATCGGTCATGCCATTGTGCCGGTACTACGTCCAGCTGCGGTACTCCTTGATGCAGGTGCTCTACGATGCCATGTTCGCAAACCTCATCCACGGACTTCCGATCGCACGAGCAATGGTACGTTCTCCCTGGACCCCCTTTCCCCCAGCCGTAATCTATGTTCTAACGCATGCGTGAAGCTCATCACCGACCCCGACGACACGAGCCTCTTCAACGACAATGACGAGTTCATCGACAACCAGTACCTCCTCGGCCACAACATCATGGTGTGCCCCGTATTGAACCCAGGGGTCTACAACCGTGACGTCTACCTGCCTGGCACCGACCACTGGTACCCGTCCAACTTGCGTGTGAACGCGCAAGGCTTCGGACTTGATCCAATCTTCAAGCATGCCGCACAGCTGGAGAAGTCTGTGCCCGGTGGCTCGACCATCAGCTTCGGCTGCGGGATTCCCGACGCCGTTCACGATCCGGAGCAGATGGCTTTCGTGACGCCCGTAT